TAGCATTTCATATCATTTTCCCACCGTTGTTATTTATTGTTATTTTAGCGATGTGAGTCTTGGTATCTGGATCCACCACACATCGTTGCCCGGATCATAACTGTTCAACTGAACTTTACTAAGTTGGATGTTTGACGTCAATAACCGTGATTTAACTCATCGTTAACTGTGATCAATTTGAGATTGTGTGTTATGTGCCAAATACACTTTCTACTTCTCGGCGCATCGAAGAATTCCTGACTACTTTGACAACCGTCGTTTACTTGACTCAGTAGCCTGTTGATAAAGGTATCACCTATCACATCCCGTGTTGCACTCAGCTCCGACTATCTCTACTTGGTGCATTTAAAGTGGAACGAAGCAGTTCGTTGAGTGCAACCATCTAGTCAACATTGACACTCCCATTAATCTGCTAAGTCCATGTAATGCTTCTCATTTTGCATTTGTTTCAATTTTTACGACTACTTAGATCCGTCGAGCTTCGTGATAAATCTTGGTTGCCTACCTCCATTACACAACCACTATAAACTGGTGTTTCGGGGATCAAACTAATCTGTTTTTGGCTCACTCTTCCGTGTCCTTCTGCTAAACACATTCGGTGGCATGTTACCTTATTCCGGAGTGGATTTCAACTCTCAACTTTGTACCATCTGCTCGTTCTTCCTTTGTTGTTCACAATCTACATGAGCAAGTTCTGTTGCAAGAATAGCTCTGATATTCCATTCAGCCATAGGAAGCACGACGACAGGGCTCCTTCTGTTGGACCAGGATGGCTTTGTCAAGCAATATAATGTTGCTAGATTAGACACCTACGTGACCATCCAGAGACTTGATGATGTGTATGGCTATAGTCATTGTGTCCTCTCTCGAGTCTGGGACGAGCTTGACCTTCGCTGATTCTGCTCGTTCAAACATCATAGGTCAGTACAACTGCGATGTTTGCAAAAACCGCAACGGCGGCCTGGACCTTAGTGTGGCGTTGTAGTAGTAGTAATTTATATCTCGCTCGATGGTCAAATTGAAGAGTAATGGGAACATAGGTCAACCCTGTCGTACACTGCTAGTGACGGCTAAAGTTGAAGTAATCTTACCATAAGCCCTCACTTTACCTGAGACATTGTAATATAATGCTTTAAGGATGGCGATATACTTTTAGGGTGCTCCATTCCTTAGTAAACAACGCCATAAAGCTGGCCGATCGACGGAGTCGCAAGCGGCTCGGATGTCCAGAAAAACAACGATAGTGGGCTGGCGGTAAAGATGACACGTTTCAAGGAGTTGGCGGAGCGTAAACAAGTGGTCTATACACCCTCGACCTAGGCGGAAATCAGCCTGTTCTTCATGGGTGCGCAATTCTCGAATCGGGGTTTGTCTGCGGAGTAGAATGGACGTTAACAGTTTGGAGGCAACGGACATTAGACTGATTCCTCGATGGTTAGCGTATAGGGTACGGGCACCTTTTTTGCAGCTCTGGAGGATAATTGACTCGCCCAAGCGGACGGAACTGTTTCTTCACACCAGATCTTAGAGAACAGAGCTGTTGGCTGGTTGGTAATTACTTCGCCCCCGAACTTGAACAGCTCTGGGGGGTCCGTCTGGGCCAACAGACTTGAATCACTTCAAGTGTCGGAGCTCAAGGCGGACTTCAGCTCCAGTGAGTGGTTCCAGTGAGATGTTCCAAGGCGCGCAACTACGTATACTCATTAGGCTCGCTGGCGGAAGAGGTCAGCTGAATTGAGTGTTCAGCCCAGCGGTCCATGCGCTTGTGTAAGTTGCTTATCGGCGTTCCGTCAACCTCGCAAATGACCTCACTGTCACCAGGTCTTTTGTGACCAGTGGCCCGAATGACCTTGAAGAGCTTGCGAAAGTTTCCAGAATCGGCTGCTGTTTCCATCTCTGCGGCTCGCTGGGACCACTAAGTTTCGCCATCAGCCCGCTGGTTTTGCTCAAGTTATTTGCTAAGAATGCGACGCAATGCACTGCTATTTGAATCGGTCGGGATAGCTCTACGACGAGCAAACAATTCCAGTTAGTGTGCGCAAATCCAGCCCCTCAGAGGGCGTTTTGCGATTCTGCAGCTTAAACGACTGGAAGTTAGCATCGCTTAACGCAAGAAACTCAAATAATTTTCGATGTCTCGAAGTGAAGCACTACTGAATGCATGCGATAAGTAAGCTTTATAAGTTGATCGAGTAGAGGTCAGCTAATTTGTTGATGTCGAGCGTATGGAGCTTTCGTTTTAAGGAGTCACCGAATCGCATGCATATGTCCGCGCAGACCAAAGCATGATCTGAATCGAGGTACCTAGACTAAGTCGATCTACAACCCCGGGCGCTGCCTCACCATCTAAAGCTGATTGTAATGTGATCTATTTATGACCACGCTTGCGTTGGTGAAGGAGGACGCCAGGCGGCTGCACGTTTTCTGGTATGTCTAAAGCTCGTACTTGAGAGCAAGAGACGGTCTTCGCATAATGTAAGAAATCTATTACCGTTGTCAGAACTGCTCTCATCAAGCGCATGACTGCCACCAAGATGACGTTCGCATGGAAGCAGGCGATCTACTCTTGTATTGAGATTTCCGACAAGGGCGATGCCATCTGACTTTTCGGCCTTGTTCAAAAGGTTGTGGGGTCCATGATAAAAGTCATTCTTAACAGATGCACAGCTGCAGTCGGTTGTAGCGTAGACAGAAACGACAAACAAATTGCGCCTTTCTTCACGATGTCTGTTGATTCTACATGAGAAGCCGAACCGCACACAGCCGACTGTTAATTGGAAACCAGTCGAATAATGCAACCTCTGCTTTGTCACTCAATGCGATACCGACACCAGCTAAGCTGTCGGCTGCTGCCTTCATATCAGTAGACAGACGTAGGTACTATGTGGCCTCAAGAGCAGCTGGAGACGACAAGTTAACCACGGTACTGGGATCCTGTAGTCGAGTCTCTGAAAGGCAACAAACATCGATAGCGAGGGACTCTAGAGTGCGCGCCAGGCCAACCTGTTGTCCTATCTGTAGAAGGGTCCGAATATTGAATGCTACAAGGCGGAATGAAGTACAGGGTCGAAGGACAGATTATGGCCGGACGATTTGGATATCAGCGAGACGGGCATTGGTAATAGATTCAACAGGTTGTGGACTATCAACACGAGGAAGGTTGATGTGTGATGGAGAAGCACATGTAGCAGGGAAAGTAGCAGCAGAAGTAAGCGAGGTAGTAGTAATTGCGAAATCCATGGTTTTCACAGAGGTCACCATACTACCCGGTTGCCCAAGCCGAACTAGGGAATTGTCTTAGGCGACTCCACCCCGAACCTTTGGCTCAATGGCCTACCCGCAAGGCAGCGGAACGAAGTCAGGGGTTCGCACCCATTGGGAGCCAATGACTGACTGCTCGGTTCACACGCCTTTTGTTTTGGTGCGTAGCCAAACAGGGGACCAATCTTCCCCACAATTTCAGCAGCAAGGTGGTGGGATACAATGCTTTATCAAGGTGAAATAAGGGGTCGTGACTTTATTTAGTGGCGAGTCACATCCGCCACGTCGCAGTGTTGTTAAACGGACACATGTGGCTTTTTATAGGGAGAACGCTTTCCAGGCGAAAACCCACCACGTCCTGGAATACTGCCGCCGAACCATTCGTTAGACCGAGATAATCCCGGATTACCCAACTGGCACCACGAGTAAGTTGTTCGGCAAGCCATCATATGATGATGAATTAATAGAGAGCCTGTAACTCTCTGATCTTTTCAGCAACCTCATCCTCAAGATTATTGTGTCGCGTGCGACAAATTGATGTGTTACCCTTCATATGACGGTGTCAACTGAACGATCCTCGATTCAGACCGGCGGTTGCGATTTTGCTATTCGTGTTGCGCAGCACTATGCTTTATCAGTGGATATCCAGAAGTGAGAAAAGGATTTTATGTTTTTGCTTAAGAAATTAAGGCCATAAAATGCATAGCTGTGAGTGTTTTAAACAGGAAATATTTGGAACCATGAGTACCAGTGGTTACAAGAATGCATACAATTGTTAGAGCGGTTGTATCTGTTATGCCTGCTTAGGCATACCAGACATTGCATAAGGCAGCCACGTTACCTGCAACGAGAGAGACATCTGACGAAAGCGATATGTAAAGGTGGTGCTGGTAGAGCAGGATTCGGCCAGCTCTTCCTCTCCGCTGAAAGCTTGAACTGATCGATGTCTTCGAGTAGAACGTGAATGAATGGTAAGAATGAGGATCATAAAGCGGACTAGCTTGGCTTTCGCCCTTTAGCACACACTTGTTGCCCACGGATTACTGGATCAGATATTTCCTAACCGTTACTCGTTTGCTTGGCTTTTTACATAAGATTTACATCGTTCAGTTGCCTGATCACTCACTTAGACAGTTGTCAACATCCAGTGCAGCAGCGGATGACCATTTCTTTATCCGAAGTACGTCACTTGTGCATTCCTGCGACGCGATGCGAGGGGCAATTACTCAAAAGTCCACTTGGTCCGGCGCATTACGGGTCAAAGGAGTATGAGCTACATATTCAGCATCAGTAGCTTTGTTATGTCGGTTGTTGGCACCCATCATCCTTCTGAGGTTCTTCTCCGCTTACCAGAGTTTTATGCCTTACGTCTAGCCGAATCGATGCGCGCTGCTAGCGCGTCCCATCAGCATAGATCGACCGCCCAGTGCTCTTCTGGTTATTGACAGTCTGATTGTAGTAGATTTAACAACGTAGAGTCAGCTGCAATCCGCGACATTCATGAAGTCGGCTCATCCTGTCGCAGGAGCTATCCGCAGTAAAGTGAAGTAATAACGTAGAGCTTATAATTGAAGCAGGTGTGTGATATACGACACGGTGCAGTCCATCGGGGACATTGCGATTTCCTTCCTTATTGACCTTTCTGTTCGTTATTAGTCTTCTGTATATTGCTTGGCATCTGTTTTATTGCTTATTAGCATAGTTGTTTTCTTCATCGACCGGTTTGTTACACCTTTCAGGAGTTTCTTCTTGTCGCTCTACATGTCACTCCAACCACCAGCCTATTGCGTCTCATGCTGACCACCAGTTTCCTACTGCCATGCAACCTGTGGCACAGCCAACCTTTCCACACCGTTATGCCCCGAGCTCTCCTGCATCCAACGTCTCTACTCCTACCCACCCGTCAAACGTGCCTCCTCAGTTTGAGCAGTCAACTATTTCTCACTCTTTATCCTCGCCTGGGACATTTACGGTAGCCGTACCATATCCTTACGTGAATCCAGGTGGCTTCCCAACATCGTACGACGCGCAAAGTGCACTTAACTGCGCGCCAGCGTATCAGGCCTCACGGAACCATCTTGCAAACTCATCCCAGGCGCCGGATGGTCACTTTAATTCTGTTCACTTTCCCTCACCCGGCGTTTTGGACAACAATGCTCCCGCAGTCCCGCCTACTAATACGACCTCATCATCGCAGTCATTTTCTGCACAGCCTTCTAATGAGCCCAATTTTGCTAATACGGCTACTGTTGCACACTCTACTGGCATACGGCCTATGCTCTACGATCAACAAACAACACCGAAAACACATTCGTCATCAGCCCAGAAGTTGGCACAGTTCGCCAGTCATCCCCGGGCGCCCCCTATTCCTCATTCTTTCTCGGCGCCTCATCCTGCTCCAGTTGATCCTTCAATGCATTCCACATCGGGTGGCTCAATTAAGCATAGTGTACAACCTCCGTTAGTTCAACCTTTTACACCAGCCTCAAGGCACTCATCTGATTATCGGCGGCAACCGACATCCGAAGCTTCCACTTTTTTTCGCTCCCCGGGTACACCAGCTACTAGAGCAGAGTGGAACCGTATAAAGAATCCCATCGGCCTTTTACAAGAACACAATTTGATGCCATCGGATTCGGCGGATCTGCCACCCAAGCCGACAATCTCATTCCCTGTGAGTTCCTTTGTGTTCCATTTGATATGTAGCATTTTCTGTACAAGTACGCTCCCGGGGGTACGTGCTTGGCCTTCTGTTCCACTTCACCTCACCATCTGAATATGCACACCTTCCTGTTTAGTCGCTTGATTAACTATCCTAGAATGGAAGTTAACCGACCTGTTCCGATATATATATATATATATATATATATATATATATATATATATATATATACTCAACATCAACAAAGTTTTGTTCGATGCCATTCCAGAATTTCCGGAAAGCTTCTCTATGCTTATTTTATATGGATATACAGGGGGATATACTGGAACATAAATCTTACAGTTGTCATTTATCCTGTATTTTAGCAATGGTTACCGTATTGACAAGTCATAAACATGCTATTCGCGGATGTTTCCTGTACGAGCACCACAAAGATACAAAGCGGTCTAGGTTTGTCGAAACATGCGTGACCTACTAGGCCCTGATGCTTCAAATCACATAGTATGAACTTTTCATTTTGTCTATTCAAAGTAGAAAATTATGAATTGTCAAACCTCGGAAGTTTCGGACGCATGCCAGCGGACTTTTTCAGCATCATCCAGGACGCTCTAAAGGACGATACGAGACGAAGTGTGCATGAAGTTTTTTCACACCTTAGTTTTCCAGTAACCGCCATTTATCCCCACCTGCACCACTCCGAACTGGTCCCAAAGCTCGGACTACTTGTACCACCACCCTAATCGACTGATGAGCAGCTTTTGTCCAGTTGTGCCATCGCACTCTCTTTATTCATCCGAGAGCACAATCATCGATGGCTGAAGAATGTTGTTGCTGGGGACAAAAACTGTATGCCCCATGTCAACCATAACATGAAGCATCAGTGCAACGCAAGTCCCAAAAGGCGAACTGCGCAGCAATATGGTTCTGCTGCCTCGCTTGGTCCGATTGTCACCGCGTCATTTATTGGGACCTGCTACTTGACAATTCCACGGTTACTACTTATGTCTACTGCCAAATATTATGGTCGCCAAAGTCGCACCGAGCCTCGCTGATTAGCTGTTCGAGAAAACCTGCCTGTCCCGATTGACTGATCACAAAAGCAAGATCATAGATACAGTGCAATGGGGCGCCAGACACGAGTTGATTACGCAGCGCAGAGTACCGTAGCGACCTTCTTGAATCTTCTCTGTTCTCTCTTCTCTTACCAGTAATAGTATTAGATTCCGCGAGAACATTCTTTTGATCAGTCAATGCGATGATTTTCCTTGGTTTCTCGAAGAAGGGCCTTAGTTCGATCCGTTTAAAGTTTACCGATCCATTTGTTAGGAGGTGCTCCTCCTAACATCTTCCCGTTTGAAGTCCGCTGTTATATGGTTTCAGTCTGAGGTTTACCTGGAGCGGCGTGACAGGGACTCCGCAACGATTCGTCCAACTTTGGGCAGGTGCAGAAGAGGCTGGTGGTGTGATAGGGTTATCTTGCTGAATAGCCTCTCGTTGACAGTTTGAACTCGCTCAGGAGTATTTCAAGAGACGATCGAATGTGGTGTAGCTCCTGAGTTAATCGGTGTGGCGAACCCATCTGTCCTCGCCTTCGGCCACTTCATAACAGACATGGCCATGTCTTTCTACAACCATTCCAAATAATTTTGTTGTTCCAATAGTCCTTCGCCAACACCTGTCCAATGTCAAAATGTCGTGTTATAACGCGATGTCCTCGGTTGTACTGACGCTCTATTATCTATTTTCTTTCGGAGTTGGATCTATCCATTGGCCTTATTAGATTAAATTTCATTCCACGCCTTCTGAGCAGGAGCGATTCTGCTGGGAATTTCTCGTCAGGCGTTTCGATTAGGCGTAATCCTGTATGTTTTCAGGAAAGTCTGTAGGGCCTCTTGAATTGGTCTGTCTCGTTCAGCTTTGAGCAGAGCCCTTTTGATCATATCCACAAGTCGTACAGCTTACCCATTTGACTGTGGATGATAAGAAGGTGAGCGCACATGATCCATGCCTTGTAACGCACGGAATTCAAAAAAGAAGTAAATTGAGGTCTATTGTCGGATACTACAGTCTCCGGAAAACCAAACCGACTGAATACCTCTCTGCGGCTTATAATCGTGGCCGATGTTGATGTGTTCGGATAAACAGGAAGAAAGCTTTCCACACGGTTGCCGTGGCATAAGAAGGCAGTAATAAAGCATGACTCCTTTTCTTCAGTTTTTATACACGAGGATGAAGCTGGTCATCAATTTCACCTGGATGACTTGAAAGTTTTAGCACATGGGAATACAAAATAAGCAAGAGAATTCTGAGAAGCATGATACTCCACGAAGAATTCAACCAATCCACACGTTGAATTGGATGCAATGTATGCAAATCTACGACCAAAGGACAGCCACCACAGTCGAATAGCCTTACTGGAAAACGACACCATACAAACCGCGCAGGCAGCATTTTCAGCTGCGGAGACAAGCGGGCTATAGTCACGAGGCATGGGTCGAAGAGGCCACTTTCCAAGCTCACATACCTAAACGACCCACGATTATGACCAATAAAAATGCACGCGCTAGGCTACTCGCTTCACGCTTACGCATCGCTACGGTACACTAGCGCACCGATGCTGTCGCCTCGACTGGTGACGAAATGTTTGCAACAAGATTGCGAAGCTTAGCGAACGGCTCATCTAAAAAATTAACAACTTGAGCTACCCACATTTTCTATTATGTGAAAAGGTTTCTGGCTCCTGTGCTTTGGCTACGCATTCGGAGGGAAGGGTTTTGCTTCAGATGACCAGCCCTAGCTCTTGACTCAGTAGTCTGACCTACAAGTCACTGTGGAACACATCCAGTTCGGGAGTGTGATTACGAAGTCCTTTTGGGCTCTACTTTAGCCCTGTCACACACAGCTCTGGAGGGTTCGTCATAATCACCATTACCCACTGGCTGAAGGTGAAAAACCAACTACAACTATTGTTCCGGATTACAAAATATGAGACATACGAAAAAGCGAGATTTTAAACATTATCGAATACAAAAGCTGGCAACCTACTGCTTAGTAACCTAGTATAACTGGACGGGGAATATAAGGGGGATGGGGAGAGACAAAGAAACAACACAAGACCCATAGTGGTCGGCTGCTTGCCATGCCAACATATGTATCCATTCAGACGTGTTCATCGTCCTTCGGTCCCTAACCCGTAATAGTGTACGCCCTGCAGCCACACGTAGTCGCATTTGAGTTTTGGCTGGTTTATACCTTCTTGGCTAGATTATGTCTGGCTCGAGGCAGGCGTAGCATACCATTGAACATGTGTTACTCTCACGTCATCAAAACGCATCCTCTAGTGCTCGCAATGAGACTGGATCTTACCGTGGTGCGATGGTTTGTGTGCCTCAGGGATCCATTGAGCTATACTGGGTGGTGCATTTTTGTACCTTCAGAGCTACTCATACCAGATTGGTCAATGCTTAGAGGCCAGACAAACTCAGTCTCCTGGTCCTCCAGGTTGCGGGTTGGAATGAGGGTGGCACCTTATTCCTTAAAACGGACTACTTGTCGCCCAACGCAAAACCCCTGCCTTGCGGTCAGGTCTTTGAAACAAAGCCTTTGGTTGAGAACCCTAATTGTTTTCCTGTCTAGGCCTGACAGTATCCTGCCCACGCAATACAATGAATCTCTCTTCAAACAAATTTCTGATGCTCTGACCACCGCAGTGGATAATCAACGGTGCCCTATCTGCTGCATCGAGCAGGGTGGATAGGGGTTTGGATGCTACTGCTCAAGCCTTCCCGTCTTCTTATTCCCCCTCTTGCGCTTTTTCACTCCTATCGTCCCATTCCAGCTTCACTTTTATCCCCCCCCCCAGTTTTCAACCCCCAATTCTTGGCCCTCCCCCACCTTGCTTCAATAATCGCTTGTCTTTTAGTTTCAACTCACGTGTGAACGCGGAGCGTCATTCCTGCCCTGTCAGTAGGCCCATTTTCAAGCAAGCGGTCAGGCTCAGTTCATCGGCTTCCATTTGGAGCCTTCGATCCTCCTTCAGATTGGCATGCCTCAATGTTCGCACATTACTTCAGATCGGTCAACAGGCAGCACTTGCCCGAACATTAGAGACCCTCTCAATCGATATCTGCTGCTTATCGGAGACCCGCCTGCAATACTCGTGCTCTCTTCTCACTCTGCGATCCCCTTCAGGTGACACTAGCAGCACTTTCTCATTGTGCCTATCTGGTGACGATGCAGCTTCGAGTACCGGCCTATCCGGTGTCGGTATTGCCTTGAGTCCCCGGGCCGAAGCTACTCTGATTTATTGGAACCTAATCAGTAGCCGGATGTGTGCGGTCCGATTGGCTGGCTCGTTCAAAGCTTCGAAGTCGCATGGGACTAACAGGTGTCTATTCGTTATCGCTGCCTATGCACCCACAAACTGTAGCGTTGACTCGGTCAAAGACGACTTCTATCATCAACTGAATAAGCTCTTTCGCCACAGAAGAAGCACGGACACTGTAGTGCTGGCTGGGGATCTGAACGCGCAAGTTGGAAAGTTGTCCACTGATGAACTGCATCTGGTCGGCCAACATGGTATAGGCTCCCGTAATGATAACGGTGAGTGGTTACTTCATTTATGTGAAGATGCTCGCCAATTTCCGACACAGCACTCGCCGGAGAGTGACTTGGCGCCCACCAGCTATGGACGCAAATCGATCACATTGCGTCCAGAACTGTTGCTAGATTTGGAGCACATGTGTCGACACTGACCATGCACTTGTATGTGCTGACCTGCAGATGCTCTTTAGCGGACGCCCACGACAACGTGACCGCATTGACACCAGCCAACTAGCGAAACCAGCTGTTCTGAATACCCATCAAAGTACGATGTCATGCCAATTGAGTGAGCGCTCACTGGATGCAATTGAAGCTCACTGGTCTCATATTCAACAGGCCTTACTAGCAGCAGGCAAATCCTCATGTGGTATGTCTAATCGCCAATATGGACATTGTATTTCTTCGCAGTC